GCAAGACAGAAGAGACAGAAAGGTGACTTCGTTATAAAGCTCTGGCTCTGGCAGCAGGTGTAAACAGCTCTAATGGCCAGAAAATTGAAAGTCAGTTACTGCCAACACTCCTTGTACCCCATGTAATGTCACTTTTTTTAAAAATGTAACCTTTGCTTTTATAAGTGTCTAGCAAATAATCTGCTCCCTTGAAGAAGAAACCTGGTAAAAACACCATATAATACAATGCAATGCAATACAATACAATTGTAACGGGGCTGACAGGCTAGGCTAGGCTAGGCTAGGAAGCTAACGAGGGCTCTGTAGAGTAGCTATCACTGCTGGCGATAAGCGCATACAATACTCGGCAGTGAATGGTTGTTTGAGTGAGTGTTAAATAGTGAGTGAGTAATATGAAACAGCTGTGTGCAATCAGTGCTGTGTGCAATCAGTACAATGGATGATGGGATATGTAGTCCGGGATGATATGCAACAGTTTGTGTAGTGCGAGAGTCAATGTAATGGAAAGGGTGACCTCTGATGGTAAGCAGACGGAAGTTCATGGACCGGATTCATGACAACAATACAATTAATATAATATAATACATCATTTTAAAGGGGAAAATAAAAACACTCATATAATATTTAGTTTGACCTCATGAAGTTGACAGATAATTTAAGGACCTCTATTCACAGAAATTTGTTGAGGGGAAATTAATTAATTCATGTTAGCTAACTGTAACTCTGTTACCTTGAACTGTTCATTTGTGAAATACTTGGACACATTCACTTCTGATAACAGATCACTCTAAATTGTAATGTAGACATGCATTTTCTGTAAAGCTGCTTTAAAATTATGTGTATTGTGAAAAGCACTATACATATAAATATGAATTGAACTGAATTAAATTGAATAAAATAACTATTTGGTATCCTATTTGTGGAAAGTGTCATATCTGGGTTACTGTTATTATTGTAACACAACTAGAAAAACTTGTGCAATCATAATCAGCTTTAAAAAGTTACAAAGATCTTTACTTTGAAATGTTTAGTGTTTTCTGTTTATCTTTGAATAGTATAAAATAATTCTGTCAAGAGTTGCTACCTATACAACTTTGATACAGTACAAAACCCTGAGAAAAACTGAGCTCTGTCATTTCCCTAGAGGCACAGAGATTATTCGGTTCCCACTCTCATCACAGGCTTAGATGTTTTTCCTTCAGCACTTCAGTAGCAGAAGAGACTCTCACATGCAGCCTGCATCACAAGGCTACACTGTTGGCACATTGTTAAGAACTATTTGTTTAGGTTGATGTTTTCACTGGCACAGCTATCAAATGTGTAGATTGTGTTGCTTAACGGCAGGTTATGATGACAGACATTTCAAGTACTTTGAGAACAGAAATAAATAGCGCCCATGAACAGCAAGCGTCCATAGTTAACCGTGAATGGCAGATGTTGAATGTGGCCCAAGGGCCGATCTGAACGCTCCATTACCGTAACCTCTCTGGCATCTTGATGCTGGGAGTCCATTGCGGCCCAACGTATCACAAAACGCTGAGTTTTGAAGAAAAGTGCATATTGTCCCTCTCTCATTATCGAATTACAAACGTCTGTTTTGTTTGGCAGAGCCGGTCAGTAAAATGTGAGCTGCCCGAGCAGCACTCTGAAGTAGTAACAGATCATTCTTCACACAGCCAGTGTGAGGAGAAGTGGTGGTTTTCGAGAGACTGAGAGAATCTAGCGGTGAGCCTTGAGGGACAGGCTTCCCTCTCATGCGGAACCGGACAAATGCAGAATCAGATGCTGGATCTGTTAGTCATTCATCTGGAATAGAGCTCCAGATGCCCAGTGCGTCACCTGTCAGACCCTGTCCATGAGACATTGTTTGCTTAGATTGCACATCTAGGGAATCAAAGTCACCATCTCTCGCGTAGTTCCAGCTCATTTTTACATCAGTTGCAAGAAGCTGGGATGAAAAACAATAAAAATTAAAAGAGTGAGAAACGTTAAATGGAAACATATCAAATTTAGTTTATTTTTGTCCCTCCCTCTCACATTTCTTGCTCTCATTTCTAATAATGCAAATGTATAAGAAATCGTTATACATTTCAAATGTCATACAAACCACTCATTTTTCCGGTGCTTTGATTAGACACTGAATAATCCAAACGCAGATCCATTTCTTGGCAGATTGCACAGTTGGAGTCCAAATTTTCTAAAAATGTGAATGATCTGGCCTTTTTTTAAATGAGAAGTCAGTGTCTACAAACTTTAAAGTCTGTCCTTTGTTTTGAGTGTTTTGTGGACGTGCTTTCATGATACTGTGTTGAGCTTTAATGATGGGCTTGATGGAAACAATCAAAGATCCTTCAAACCTGCCATTCTCCTGGTCACTCTGTGGGATGCGGGGTGATTGGGAAAGGGTCTTTTGAAGCAACTAGTTGGACAGGTTTCCATTAATGTAAAACATTTCAGCTTTCAAAGTGCTTTTATTCCAGCTCGGAATGGCTGGGTCCCCTCAGGAGCCCAAGATCTTCTCGACAATGTTCTTTCTGTCAATTTACTGTGAGGGGAGATGAGTTAGCGAGCCCTTCCCACTGATAGAAATTCAAATGTTTTGCTGTCAGGAATATCAGTTCAAAGCAAAATATAGTGATAAAAAGCAGAGAATCGCATGGCATGAAGGTTTGATATAACATTACACAATTCAGCTGTTATTTCAGTCTGACTGGTCCATTTCTAGCTACGCTGTTGTCTTTTGACTGATATATAGGAGCTTTTTGATGTTGATTTGTTACTAGCCTTGTGTTTTTGTTCAAGAGTGAACGTTGATATCAGCCATTGGTTCGCCAGTGTCTAAGACACTGGATCAGTCTTGGATTATACTGGAGGACTCAAACTGGATCCACCATGGAAGCTTTACAAATGCTGAGTTATGGCTTATTATATGGCTATAAACCCGCCGGCCCTCCTAATATTACCACTGTGATCTCCAAATATATTATAGGCTTTAAACGTACACATGACTTCCTATTGAGGATCACTTTGTGTTCAGTTTGCTATTCAGCAACTCTTACCATAAACTGTAAGCTGAGGACCACAATGTCAGTTTAGACACGAGTGTCTAGACTGTGTGTTGGATTTAATCTGTTTTGCTAGTATATCTGCAATGCTTCAGATGTTATATAGATGATTTCATAGCTTTGGGCTTGTGTACACTTTCAATTTTGTTATAAAAATGGTTGACAGTGTTGTTATTTTAGCTCTAGGTTGAGGCAATCTGAATCCAGACCGCTTGTGATTACCAGTTCAAAAGAAAGGTTTTATAGTCCAGACTCCACTTAAAAGAGGGTTACAGATTTAGACTAGAGATTTACCATCTTTTACCATCTCATGACCAATACTCACAATGTTTTTTTGTTTTTTTTAATATCTGATAGCTGACATGCAGAACCCTTTTATTATTATTTTTTTTGTTCTGTTTGTGCTTTTTGACAATAATGCCTGGTTCGCTATTAGGCTAAAACAATAATAATAATAAAAAAAGAAACATAGCATGAATTGTATTAATATTCATTTTAATAATAATAACAATAGTAATCATTATTATTATTATTATTATTATTAGAATATATTAATAAAATAAAATAAAAAACTGATGAACCTTAGGCCAGACCATAAAAGACATCCAATATACATTTAAGTCTAGATATTAATAATAATTATAATAATAATAATAATAATAATAATGTTATTATTATAATAATTACTAAACTCATTTTATTTTTATTTTTATTTTTATTTTAGTTCTTTCCTTCTATTCATTATCTCTAAAATCTATGTAAATGCCGTGTATTTGGCTGGCTTGTGGCCATTATGGTCTGGGCTAGGTGCAGTGGGTGAGTCAGTCCTTTAGCATTTTAAACAAGTAGTTCAGCTAAAAATGAGCATTCTGTCATTATTTAAAATTTCTTCTTTGGAATACAAAAAAAATGTAAAAAAAATAAATAAAAATTTCCATACATAAAAACTATACAATTAGCAGCCAGTTTTTGGGTAGAGGTGCCGGGGGACTTTGTGAAGATGACCTAGGCCAAGTAGTTCCTCATTCAAGTTGAATTAACCCATGAGCCTTGTCCCCCCTCCTCTCTTTCTCTTGGCCTTTCTCATCCCTTCTCTGATCTAACCTGACAACTCCTGAGCTACTGTTTCCTCCTTCTGCTTAACTGAGACCACATTTCCCTTCGGATGGAGTTGGAGTGCTGTGTTCAGACCAATGGAAACCTCTGCACTGAGCTGCATCTGGTTTGAATCTCCTGGCGTGTGCTGCTGTTGTCACAGTTAGGCACTGGAGCTTGTCTTTAACTTTGATTCTTCCTCCCTCCACTTCTTTTGGTCATGTGTCTGTGGTGCAAGGCTTTTCACTTTATGGCCTTTGGTGAATCCGCTGTAGTGAGGTTGATCCTTCTCGCTAGATCTTTCTCCGCACTGTAATCCCAGGCGCCAGCCACCACTTCCCCTGTAAATTCACATAACGTCCGCTCGTCTAAACTGATGCATCTTTATCTTTTTACAAGTGCACCCAATGCCCAGTTCAAACGGATATGTCCCATGTTGCATTTTTATTGCTTGTAGTTTTCCATATGTAACATGATATTTATTACATATATTTATAACATAATATTGAGAATATTTCCTCCTGTTTATTAGGTAAACACAAATCATCCAGTAGCAAAAAAAGCTAACAATAAACCGTCTACTTTCACTCACCTTTTCCACGTTTGATACCCTCAAGCCTGTGTTCTTGGTCAAATAGAGTGTCTGAATTGAGTAAAATATCCATTCAGTGTTTTTTTTTTTTGCAATTTTATTACATCACTGAATACTGCATAAACAGTTGGGTCAGTCTTTAATTTTGTGTTCCAGCATGCATTGGGGCATTTCCATTCTTTAATAGCAGCTGTGGTGAAGAAAGTACTTTTGACACAATGGCTTCTTTTTTCTTTTTTTTTTGACAGGATGCAGCTCGGAAAACTATCCCAAAGATGTTAGCTGAGCTGGATCTGGGGCATACGGAGAAGTGTGTGCGGGTGAACTCGGTGTCCAGCAGCCTGGCTGAAGCTGACATGGAGGTGATTCTGCAGGCAGACGTGCTTCCCACAGCTCTCATGCTGCCAAAGGTAGAGGACACAGGAGAGGTGCAGTGGGTGAGTGAGTCTTTTAGCATTTTTAACGAGTAGTTCACCTAAAAATGAGCATTCTGTCATTATTTACAATTTCTTCTTTGGAATACAAAAAAGGTATGTTGAAAAAAATAATTTTTCCATATATAGAAACTATAAAATGAGCAGCCATGACTAAAAAAGATTTAAAACCACCATAAAAGTTGTTGTTCAACCCATGTCCCCCACCCCCAAGTCTTCCATAACCATGACAGACACATCTATTCAAAAGTGTAGGGTCAGTATGATTTTTTTTATTAAAGAAATTATTCAGCAAGGATGCAATAAATTGATCAAAAGTAAAGACAGTAAAGACATTTATAATGTTACAAAAATATTTTTCAAATAAATACTGTTATGAACTTTATATTCATAAAAGAATCCTGAAAAAAAGTTTTACGGTTTCCAACATTGGTAATAATTAGAAATGTTTTTCAAGCAGCAAATTAGCCTATTAAAATGATTTCAGCCTATTAGAAAATGCAGCTTTGCCATCAAATTACATTTTAAAGTATATTTAAAAAAGAAAACAGTTCTGTTTTTACTGTATTTTTGATCAAACAAATGCAGCCTTGGTGAGCATAGGAGACTTCTTTCAAACAGTAGTGTTTTTCCCCCAAATTTTATCAGTACATTTGCAAATATTGAATTGTGCATTGAGGACTCGTATGTTTCCATATGATTATGGTTAGATTATAGGTAATGTAACATTCGTTATAATTTCATCCCACAAATTGAAGTCTATGCCCTGCCTAATGTGAAAAATGAGACACTAAAAATACCTCCGGTGTGCTTTTGCATTTTCCATCATTTGCAAAGAACACAACACCCTCTGAACTCACAGAGTAAGACAAAACCACAGGCCTTTTCAAAGCAACAATAACAATCTTTTCTATTAGTCTGTACAGAGGACTTGATCCCTGTAGTCAGGCCCGGGGAGAAATGGGGCTGTATATCTTGGCATCAGCTCAAGAAAGCCATGACATTTTAAAGCTAGCTTCACAAGGCAGATGTCACAAAGTACTTCTTTACCCTGGAAACACAGGGCCTCTTCAATAAACCTATACTTAGGTTTATTTAGGTTTGGCATTGTTGAGATTGGCATTGTTCAAATCAAAGTAGAAGGCCAATTTAACCACTTGTATAGATCTCATTATAAGATGGTTGGTCAGTGAGCCAGCCAGTGACAATACAGATTGTCTCAAAGCTAGCAGACATGGACCAAGAGCCACAAAACACTCTATTCTCCTGATCACTTCCATGTGTGTGTGTGTGTGTGTGTGTGTGTGTGTGTTGCAAGAGGTGTTGAAGATGTCTGTTCGTCCATCAAAGCAAGGCTTCCTCTGCCAGGCAGCCCCAGGAGGCCCCTGGTGGCCCCCAGCATAGCCAATACACCAGCCCCCAAATCCCTCCAGCTCTTTTCCCCCAACTAGCCAACCCAGCCCAAATCTGCAGTATTCAGCTACTCTGCATGACCACTGAAAAGACCTGAAAGAAGCCACAATGTCTTAACTAGGTAGATGAAGGGAGGGAGGGAAGCTGAGAGATGGAGGGGGCCCCTAGTCTGTTGCTCACAGTTAGTTTAGACTAGAAGAAGGAAGTTTTTAACTAGTGGTTTTAATTAGTGCTCATATATTTCCCGGGCCGCTCAATGTTTCCTCCCTTTTTAATTGCTGACAGGTGTTCATATTTTTGTCTCTATTTCTTGTTCACTGCCATTTTGTCTATTACTTTATTGCTTTCCTCTGAATTAGTTTTATCAAAAATATTTGGTGGCTCTTGAATGTATATATAAAAAAATAAATAAAAAATAAAGAGATGAATGATTTGACTATATGGTTTCTGGCATCCTCTCTCACCCACATGTAAAAATAAACCCATTTTCAGAGTAAAATGACCTACACTATCAGCCATTCACTACCCACTTAGCCACTCAAAAATCAATACAACCTCTACACATATGTCACATTGGGTAATACAGTGTGTGTGAATGCATTAAAAAGTGCACACATATGTGGCAGGGGTTAGAACATGCTCTCTGCATGCTTTGCACACGGTTGAGCTCATAGCCGCAGCAGGATATGGGAGATTGTGAGCGGAGAGGAAGTCATGTAGCACTGACCTGACACATGGGCCCACTGCTTTGAAAGTGGCGTGAGATGAACATGAAAGGAGAGGTAGTTTCTCTCTTTCTCTCTTTCTCATTTTTGCTGTCCCTAACAGCTCTGATCATTGGACAGTTTGGATATGTTGTCATACTTGGCTATACAGAATCCTTACCAGAACTGACCATTGTCATGTAGTTTCTGTAAAATGCCGTAGTTATTGCAGTTTTTTTTGCTGCTATATATTTGTAGTGTTTTTGTATTTTTGACAGCTATCCTCAAAAAGAAAGAAAAAATCTGCTCAATACACAATATGTAACAAAGTTATTAATTTCCAGTTATGGGTTGTGTGCCACTATTGGTCTGTTTTTTTGTGCAGTCTGACAAGGCAACATTGACTCAACCAATGGCATGAATTGGGGGCGGGACTGCATGTTTGGCCAACCAATGACAGACAAACCGGTTTCATTAAAACTGATATTATTATTTTTGTAATTCCATTTGCTGATATAAAATCAGCAACCTTTAACTAATTAAATTATTTATTTGGCTTTATTTTTGAATGTCAAGTCATTTGCAAGTTAAATAACAACATAGTAGACTATTTAAAACAGCAGCATTTTGGTGTCATTACTAAGTTAGTATTTTTTTTATATTTACTAGCTAATCCAGTGGTGTTATTACATGTTTTAATGTGGAATGAAAGAGGGAGCATAAAGTCATAATGGAGCTTTTTATTGTAAAAGTTGAGTACTACTTTAAAATCATCTGTTTTTTTTAATACCGTAAAATAAACACCAGCTATCAAATGCTATAGTGTAGCATTAAATATCTATTTTTTTCCCTTGTGTGTTTGTGTCCGTGATGAGCAGTCAGTGATTGTCTAATCCAACGCACAACACAAAGTCGTACCACTACAAGCCTGATTATCTCTCTCTCCTCCTTCTCTTCTTCTCATCCCGGCGGCCGACCCTAAATCCCTCTGTTGTTTATTTTCTTCCCCTTTTTCACGTAGATGAGCAGAGGAACCTCCAGACTGATTTGTTGCTAAAAGATGGACTTACTTGTTTCCTTTTGTGTGAAAATCTTCTACTCTCCCTTTCTATCCTCTCTCTGTGTGCTTGTTTGACTGACAAGGCTTATTGGACTATAACAGGCGTAACTCTCCCCCCCTCCTCCTCCTTTTGTCCGCAGACAATTCTCCCACAGATTCGGAGCTGTGCGCATTCTTTGGTCGCCACACTACTGAGTCCTGAAAGGAACCAGCTCGAGTCCTGTCCCTCCCCGTCCGCTCCTAATTCTCCCCCGCCCCCTTCACCACAACACGTTGAAATGAGCACTTCAGCAGGCCGGAAACATTTAATCTGGCCCTCTTTTGAAGAGAATTAATTGAAACTTATCCACTTGCCGCCTTTTTTTGCTCTAGCGGCTCCCTCGCCCCAATATCCCTGCCTCGTTCCCATCCGGATCATGGCGGATGGGGCCGCCGTGGCACTTGTGTCGAGAAGTTTGGGTTTTTGCAAGTGGCCTATAGGGACCGGAAAAGCTTGTCACCTGAGAGCGGTATTAGCATTTGCGCAAGTGTGGTTCAATGTTGAGTTCCCCTCCGAGATGTGTAAATATTGAAAAGGCAGATCGGTCCTGAAACTTCAGCACAGTAAAAGCACACCTGTAATTTGTTGTCACTCATCAATGTCCTAATGGCGCCTCTCCATAAAGGAAATGGAAGGGCCGCCAAACAAGCCCTTCCCTCTCCCTCCCTTTTCTCCATTCGAGGGGAATATTATGCTAAGCCGTTGGCGTTTTCATGTTGCCATAGCAGCATTACTCCTGCAGGGTTGTGACCTCAGATGATTACAGTACACAGCTTATTGGGTCTTGAAAACCCCTTTGAAGATGAAAAGTCTTTCATGGTTTATATTTATGCAAATCTCTCAGATATGATTTATCCTACTGAGATTGAATGGGAGATGATTAAAATTCCCCCATTAGAAAAAAATCCCTCAATGAAGGCGTATTCTTTGGGCTAATAAAACAAGTGTGTGTGGGATATTTTAGCCTTTATTTTGAAAACTAGCCTTGACGTACCTGAGGTTATTTTAATCTGCTGTCCCCGATGTGTGAAAGAGAGACGGAATAGGGGGACAGGGAATTACACTTTTCCGCTTTGAGTTTTTTTCTTCTTCCCTTCCTTTCCCTTCCCTTCCCCCCTCATTTTATTTTTATTTTTTTTGTACAGGCTTTAAAAGAAAATATCTGACAGGGGGAGCTTTTGTGTGTTTCCAGATGATAGATTTTGGAATTTGGGCAACCCCACTGGCAGTCCACGGCTAGCTGTGAACTGGTCTGTTGGAAAAAATCGGAATGCTTTGGTCTTCAAAGCACCAAACTTCATTTTAAAGCCTTCTTAGGTAAGCTCAAATATTAGCGGGAAAATGAATAGCGCAGAGAAGTGTCATATCACACGTCGCAAGTCTCACGAGTCTGTCCGCCGGGGGACGCCGAGGCTCTGCATAAAACTGAAATGAAATGCGCTCCCAGACAGCTCAAATCTCATCCTTTCCTTTTTCATATTCGGTGCTCCTTTCTTTGTAAATTCAGACAGGAACCTGTAGTATATCTCGCGGGCCCCTATGAAACAGGAGTTGTCCAAAGACTGTGTGAATCCTGTCAAGTTTTTGAAGTGATATTTATTTTTTCTTCTTCTTCTTCTTCTTTCTCCAAAACCCGGAGTCAGAAGTTTTTTAATTTAATTAGGCATGCCATTTGAGTGGCATGTTGTCTCTTTAAATGAGATTTAAAGTGTTGTTTTTGACTGTGTGTGTGTGTGTGTGTGTGTGTCCATTTCAGTTTGTTGACAGGTTTCAGCGAAACTTAAAAGGCAGAGAGCTTGAGGAACCCATCCGCTTGGTCACCTTTGTGGAAACTGCTGTGGGTCTGCTGAATTTTAAGGTAAATAACAACTTTATAATTTGAATTAGAAAATATAAAATTGCCCCTATCTGGGAAAAAAATGGCCAAAGTCATGTTTTTTGTCCTCTTATAAAATATGCAGCTCCTTTTTTCTTTTGATTATTTTTCTTTCCCCCTCCACCAAACCCATGTTGTGCTGGCTAGACAGAATCCCAGAGCCAAGACAGGGAAATATTGCAGAGTCACAGCAAGAAGTGAAATTAATTTGGAACTCAACAAAAGCATTCAAGAAATTCCATCTGCTCCGTGCCTGACACGGTCATATAACATTCCAGACTGTCTCTCACTAGTCCCTGTTCTGGGGTTAGTTACAGCCTTGGACAGTCTTCACAGATTTCTAGATTTCCCCATTCACGGGGACAGAGATGGGCCATTAATTGTGTGTGTGTGTGTGTGTGTGTGTGTGTGTCTTTTTTAATATCTGATATAGTTCCATGTCTAAACACAATATAAAGAACAGAGGCATGGACAGCGATTAAGGGAGTTTTGGGGAAAATTAGAGTCATCTGACTGGGTGACTTGATAGAGTGCCAAAGTACACACGCATGCACATACACACACACACACACCCGCACAACTCTTTATTTTCTCTTTCTCTTGAAGGCAGTGTGTGAAGCACTTCGAGATCTTGGGCCAAAGGCAGGTCTTCATCATGACGGAGTTGTCTTCGGGTCAGATGACTTCTGTGCCAGCATAGGTCTGCTATCTTTTTATTTCACTATCAATACACCTTTTTCTTCTTCATTCACTTATTTGTTGAATGACAGTACCACAAATAATAACATTTCTTTTAATTAACTGATGAAAAAGATGAATTTTTACAATAATATGTCATTAATATCCCTTCAGACTGCACATTGTTATGTCATATATGATGCTTTGGGTTTAATAACATTTTTGTAAAAATCAGGTGCTGGATCTCTTTTAACCTGCAGGAGCCACACGCACTAAAGATGCTAAAGAACTCCTGTATGCTCGGCAGAAAGTGGTGGTCACCACCAAAGCTTTCGGTCTCCAGGCGATCGACCTTGTTTACATTGACTATCAGGATGTGGAAGGACTGAGGCAGCAGGCCAGAGAGGGCGCACTTATGGGCTTCACTGGTACGCTGACTGCTAAGTCAAATTTTTCATTTTTCTTTTCTGTTCAATTACTGTATGACATCCTGGCCTGGTCTTCCTTAAACAAAATGCTCTTTTGGACTCAGATGGTTTAGGATCTCAGTAAAAATGCACGCACTTATGTATAATTGCAGGTAGAGCATATACTGGCTTAAACGGAAGAAAATTGTTGCAAAGCAAAACATGTCAAACAGAGCACTAATGATTGGCTGAAGAGATTGACTTCATAATATTCCAGTCTTAAAGGAATATTCTGGGTTAAATACAGGTGGTAAGCAGCAACTTGCTGCTATTGCTAGAGAACAATTTGTATTTAACATGCAAAATTTCTTAAAATATCTCACAAAAATCTATGTAAAAAAATAATTACATTTCATAAATTATATATAATTATAAATATAATTACATTTGATAAATTGTATATATGGGTTAGTGGTTAGTGAGGGTTTTTGTGTATTTTTTAGCATTTCTCTCCCTACAATTTGAGCTCCTCTACGTCTCATGTTTTTCTGGACATCTGCCTTATTAGTGCTGACATGGTTGTTATATTTAAGAATTTTCATGTGAAATTTGCTAAATTTGAGGCAGTTTTTTTTTTCATATTTTTGCTAATTTTTTATATGCTGTCCATATTGCATTGATGATTTCATTTATTACCTGAGCTTTTAATAACATACTACATATATGAAACTTCAAAGAAAGTTGCCGGTTATGTTTAGCAGTGTATGCATGCGTGCATGTCTCTTTATTCATCTGTGTGTATGTGTATCCATTACTTACAAGTGTGTTTATGGGAGATAGACGTATGTTCATAGCTCAGCGCTGTGTGGGTTTGTAGCCAGGCAACGTGTGTGTGTGTGTGTGTGTGTGTGTGTGTGTGTGTACGTATGTTCGCATCTCAGCGCTGTGTGGGTTTGTAGCCAGGCAACGTGTGTTTGTGTGTGGAGTCCTGGTGAGCGGGTAACTGGCCACGGGAGGCCAGACACAGCCCTCTTCTGAGCCTCTGCTAATGAATATGTAATTGCTGTTTGCAGAATACACACTGTTCTCCCTGCACATCTCTGTATACACTAGCACTGCCATTCCTCCAGAACACAGCACAATGCTAAAGATCACTCGCTTTTCTCCTGTCTTCTTTTTTTTACTTTAGTTTTTAACATCAAAAATCATCACTAATTCCATCTAGTACGTTTAATCACTAGATTTAATTTACAACAGCATTTTATTATCATTTAATAATGATAGAATTGCAACCCAGGTAAAAAAAAAAGGCTTTTCATACAGAAACTATTTTAGGAGCATTTATTTGATTCATTGAAGGGCATTTACAACCATTATTAAATAAATTACCACGATAACCGTAGTCTCTTCAAATTACCATAATAATATTATTACTACTGTAAAATCATAATAAAATATTATGGGATCACCTTCAAACTATGTAAAAGGCTTTCAGAATCTTTCTGACATTTATTTATTTTTTCTTCTTGAAGATTGAAATCGCTATCACAGTGCACTAAATTAACACATTTTTACTTGAGTAAGTTTTGTATTTTGTCAGAAGCTGTGGCTAACATGCTAACATTTTATAAGGAAATAAGCATATGTATGTGATCCAACTAAATTATTTACTTATTATGATTATTTTTACGGTTTGTGGCATCCCAGGATATCTGTGAAGGTGCCACTGCAAGGTTGTTTGTGTTTATTTCCCCAGCAGCCAGTCTGCGGGTTGGTTGTGCCATGTTGCAGCCCATCAGCCAGGCGCTCTGTTCAGCAGCCTGTCATTAGGCAGGTGGGGTTGGGTTTGATGACTCTCTTCTGCTTCCCGTGCGAGTCTGAATTGGAGCGGCTCCTCGTGTAGCATGCGCTGAGCTCACCGCCATTCTGATTGCCACTGCTAGTCTGAGGTCCCTGTGTCGGGAGGCCTACAGAAACACTGTACACCCTCAGTGTAAAGTGTGTGTGTGTGTGTGTGTGTGTGTGTGTGTGTGTGTGTATATGAAACTTCAAAGAAAGTTACCGGCATGTGTTTATCAGTGTATGCATGCGTGCATGTCTCTTTATTTGCCTGTGTGTGTGTGTATCCATTACTTACAAGCGTGTTTGTAGGAGATAGACGTATGTTCGCATCTCAGCGCTGTGTGGGTTTGTAGCCAGGCAACGTGTGTTTGTGTGTGGAGTCCTGGTGAGCGGGTAACTGGCCACGGGAGGCCAGACACAGCCCTCTTCTGAGCCTCTGCTAATGAATATGTAATTGCTGTTTGCAGAATACACACTGTTCTCCCTGCACATCTCTGTATACACTAGCACTGCCATTCCTCCAGAACACAGCACAATGCTAAAGATCACTCGCTTTTCTCCTGTCTTCTTTTTTTTACTTTAGTTTTTAACATCAAAAATCATCACTAATTCCATCTAGTACGTTTAATCACTAGATTTAATTTACAACAGCATTTTATTATCATTTAATAATGATAGAATTGCAACCCAGGTAAAAAAAAAGGCTTTTCATACAGAAACTATTTTAGGAGCATTTATTTGATTCATTGAAGGGCATTTACAACCATTATTAAATAAATTACCACGATAACCGTAGTCTCTTCAAATTACCATAATAATATTATTACTACTGTAAAATCATAATAAAATATTATGGGATCACCTTCAAACTATGTAAAAGGCTTTCAGAATCTTTCTGACATTTATTTATTTTTTCTTCTTGAAGATTGAAATCGCTATCACAGTGCACTAAATTAACACATTTTTACTTGAGTAAGTTTTGTATTTTGTCAGAAGCTGTGGCTAACATGCTAACATTTTATAAGGAAATAAGCATATGTATGTGATCCAACTAAATTATTTACTTATTATGATTATTTTTACGGTTTGTGGCATCCCAGGATATCTGTGAAGGTGCCACTGCAAGGTTGTTTGTGTTTATTTCCCCAGCAGCCAGTCTGCGGGTTGGTTGTGCCATGTTGCAGCCCATCAGCCAGGCGCTCTGTTCAGCAGCCTGTCATTAGGCAGGTGGGGTTGGGTTTGATGACTCTCTTCTGCTTCCCGTGCGAGTCTGAATTGGAGCGGCTCCTCGTGTAGCATGCGCTGAGCTCACCGCCATTCTGATTGCCACTGCTAGTCTGAGGCTAGTCCTGTGTCGGGAGGCCTACAGAAACACTGTACACCCTCAGTGTAAAGTGTGTGTGTGTGTGTGTGTGTGTGTGTGTGTGTGTGTGTGAGTGAGTGTTTGTCTGTAGGCAGTTGAAATTGCATGCAGATAAATATAGTTTAGATTATTTTTTTGCATGAGCAAATCTATCACTATATTAATGCAAATACAGCAATTGGAGTTTCAGAATGTTTTTTATAAATAAAAGTGTTAGTTGAAATCACACTTTGTATTTTGAAAACTTATTTATGTATTATTTTAAATCGGAAAATTGTATCTTTATGTTTAGGAAATGTTTCTGATTTTAATGTTTTAAAATTTAAATCAGAATATTTCATTCAGTGAGCTCTTAGATTTCAAATACTTTATTCAGGCATTTTATTCATCATAAAAACACTTTTAAAAAATGTTTCTTAAAGTAAATATATTCCTATTATATTCCGATAATAATTGGGCAAAATACTACAACAGGTACATATTCATCAACAGGCAAGCAGTTAAATCTGGTACAAAATAGAAAGGCCAAAAAGTTACAAATTAACCGTAAATTTGATCCTCTCCTCTTGTATCACTGCACACATGTGTCTTAAGCATTATTTCCCTGAATTCCTCACCTGTGATTTGACCTTGGTCCATGTTTATTTCTTTAGGAGGACTTTTAGTTAACTACATAGATATGGTGTCGTGTTATGAATAAGAAAAAAAATTGTTGGTCTCCTAAAATGAAAATATATAAAAAGGTTAGGTATTTTTTCCAGTATATTAATTTAGACGTCAAAATAAAATTGTCCGTCTTCATTTTATTCACTTGTATCCTTTTCAGTTGTTTTTTTCTGCCTTTTTGATAGATTCAGCCCGTCTATGTGAGATTTTGAGAATCATCTGACAGTGACACTCTGCTAAATGGTAGTGAGCCAACCAGACGTACCCAAACCAGATGGCACCTCGTGATTGGCCGACTGGCATTGGGGAGCATTAATGATGCACAGCAACCGTCCAATAGCAGCGCTGCGTAAGGGCTCACCACGCCCACTTTGCTCACTCTGTCACTAGCTGGCTCAGAACAGACAGCTCCTGAACAGGTGGCAGTCTGGGGAAAGGGCATATTTTGTTGATGTGAGGGAACGACCCCCTGCCAGTCTTTTCTGGGATGGGCGTCACAAACATGGACCTTGAGCCTCAGCTTTAGGGTGTTGATCCAACAGGCCATCTCCTCCAGAGCAGCAGAGGGACAGTACACACACACACACTGGTGATTTTTCCATCTGTAGCGCTGTTGGCTCAATAAGAAAACGCAGTCACCAAGCTGGTTTGCTTTATTTACATTGAAGCGCATGCTTAGCTGTCATTGGTTAACCCGACGCCTCATTCACTCCCAGCTGCATCATCAGATTGTGTCGTATCTTGCAGCATTTGGCTTCGACAATGTGTAAAAGATGCAGAAAGTAACACCTGTGCTGTTGCAAGACTGTGTTAACATATGACTGACATTACGCTGCAATATGTAACATTGTGTGCTAAATTATGTGGGAACTCAATGGATAACACATGGCAGAGGCTGTTTCAGAGGGGTTAACTGGGGTAAGAGCCACAGATGGAGCTAATGGTTTTCTCATGTATTAAATTCTACGGCTGTCAGCTAGCTACCTTTCCGTATTTGTTTTAAGAGACAAGCTGAAGCAAAATATAAGAGATATTTCTCAAATGAAGTCTCTTCACCCTGAGGTTTGATCTGGGAACATGTCTTGATTATTATGGTGCAGTGCTGGACAGATGTTATTTTTGAGAATAAGGTTCCTGCCTTCATGACCGTAATCCGTGTTAGCTTCTTAGCTGATGCTGAAAAGCAGGGAGGAAAAGGAAATGTATATTTGAAAATTGCATCCACATCGTTTTAGAAAGGCCTTACATATTATTATTATTATTATTATTATTTTGTATCATTTATTGTTGTATTTATCAATATAAATATTAATATGAATAAAATAATACAATAAAAGTAATGATAGTATTAATTTAAAATTAAAAATAGAGTTTAAAAACCAATGAGAAAGAAATCATTTTAATTGATCAGGTTATCTCAAAGCATTTTTTATAGATAATGTAGGTTGTAAGTGCATTCTTGACTTTAGATTATGGATCATTTCATGGTCATCTGTTGTAGTCACCTCTAATTTTTCACCCCAGCATTGGATCATTAACACACATAGCTGAGCTTATAAGAGGTATCAGTTGCTGCTGTTCATGACATCTATATCTGTGTGTGTGTGTGTGTGTGTGTGTGTTGAGGTGTCTGCATGTGTGTGACTCTCATTCATGCCTGTAATAAAAGCAGCAAGTCAAGTCTCACAGAGGCTGCCTCAGATTGGAACGTAACTAAGCGTGCAGTAAAGTTTCAGAGTTCAGCGGGGCATGAGGCGAAAATCGGGATGACACCCATAATTCATAGCATCCTCTGTCCCTGCTGTGTCCCTTAAAATCATTCTTGGTCAGGGAGCTGTACTGGATAAAGAGGAGCAAATACCCGCTAGTGCCTTTGTTTCTCTGGAGCAAAGCCCTTTAAAAGTGGAGGAATAATCTTAGGTGATGTTTTTTTTTTCTATTTTTTCAGAATTGCAGTTGTAAAATTTTTGGCCTGTACATGTTATAATCGGTGGTTTTAAAAAAAGTTACTTAAGTATGGGTGTTTAACGATTTTATTTTATGTCTTTATTTGTTTACTTTTACTGAGACTTGGAATATTTATTTATTTATTGTTATGTTGTTAGGGATTAATCTGTTTGCTTGTTGCACTTCTTTCTAGGAAAACAAGTGATTCACCCCAACCAGATCAAGGTTGTTCAAGATGAATTTGCCCCCAGTCCAGAGAGAATCAAGTGGGCCACGGAGCTGATCGCTGCTTTCGAGGAGCATCAGAAGTTGGGAAAGGTGCATGTTCAGTAGTTCCTGAGTTTCCACATAGCGATTTGTATTCTTTTCCAGCCTGATATAGCATCAAGATGTCCTCCGTGATGCAAGCTACACTGTAGCATTTGTCGGAGAAAATCAAATGAGGTGTTGAATATTATAGTTCCTAATTTAGTGCATCATTGAGTCCTGTGTTTTCTGCTCGGTAGGGCTGTGCGTGTCTGAGATGTGCTAGTAATGTACAATCTGCCAGTAATTCTTACGCTAAGGATGGCCTGGGGGTGCATCAGCGACACTCTCCCCATTCGGCTCTTTGCTCACAAACTGAAATTCCGGGACACAGTTGCTCGATTTATTTTGCATTTTCTTGTATATTTCTATGCCCTCTTCAATCTCCTTGCAGATTTGTTACAGAAAACGTTTGCAAAGTACCCACCTGAGGTTTTACTGTCTCTCAACATGTCATTTTTAGACATTCTACTACCATTACATTACATTTAGGATGCAGCTTAGCTGCATAATTTAGTTTCTTTGATGCATATGTCATGTAATTATTGAAACTCTTTCTTCTTAAGAGGTTAGGACTGGGTAGGCTGATTGAAATATCTGGCTTAGCACAGTGGCGTAATGAATAGGAATATTTAACATGCAAATAAATGACTTCCAGCTCTAATTCCTGCATCTGTCAAGAAAATTTCAATTTTCATTCTCATGATTCTTAGGCTTTTTTTTTTAAACGCATTTGCAAATTCCCAACCACCTTGAATAAAACAGGCTTAAACTGGAAGCCAACAGGACATTATTGATTCACTACAAACCAATAACAAAAGCATTTAAATAAATACTTTCCTTATTTAAGAATATATTATTATATATATAATACATATAATTATATATGTATTATATACATGGACTGTCTCCTCTTTTCTTGATTTTCTCTAGGGAATTTATGAATAACCATCCTATTCTTCTTTGTAGTGTCATGCATGCATTGCAGCTATGTAGTAGGTTATGTCCTTCTAGACAATATCTGCCTTTATTTTTATTCAACCAGTGTTCTGTTCTCTTCTCCTCAGGGGGCTTTCACCTTTCATGGCAGTATGATTGACATGCCATCTCTGAAGCAAGCTCAGAACATTGTCACGATGGCTTCAACTGTTCAGGGAAAGTGAGCCAAACCTGAGTTCCTCAGACATCAAAATGTGCACCATGCTGGCTGTGCTGTGCACTTCACATCAAGAGCTAAAAACGACCTGTGCATTTGTTTAACCAGTAACAGAGATGATGTTCTAGCTGATGTGTTGATTATTTTGTCTTCTGAAATTCCTGGTGCATTACCATTTTATGTATTAGTTTGCATTTGTGTGTGTGTGTGTGCGTGTGTCATGCCCGCCCCCTGCCTCTCTGGTGTCAGGGCAGACGATTGGCCGTGGTAAAGGTTGTGCGTGCCCAACGAAAGGGCAAACAAACAGAGCTGCCCTGCCGTCGAGCTTCCATTCAGCCTGAAGGCTCCTCCAGGCCCCGGAACATCAAAGCGCTATTTGCCAAGAAGCCTTTGCGAATTTACTAAAACCAACATTGAGAGAATGAGCCTGTGAGCCCGCTCTAAATTGTAGGCCTTTGTTTCAGGGGTCTCAGCAAGCCAGTTTGTTCTTCAGGACAAGGCTTGAATGTGTCTGCAGCCTGGCGTAAGCTCTACACGGTGTGCCACACGCTCACTCACAAACACGTACACAAAAGGCTCCACGAGGGCTCGCTCTATGTAAATATCAGCAGTTTTCCATGGCTTTGTTTCCCGGTCAGTGGTTCCCATCTCTCCGTCCAGCTTCTAAGTCGCCATTAACATGGCCAAGTGCTCAAAAGACGTGCCGCTGTTGTCCATTTCACTAGTGTTCCTCACACACACTTTGTCAAGAATGTCTCTTTTGAAATAAAACTCCAGGATATCATTCCCAATGAATGACCATCCTTTCCACCCTTGAGGGCGTTGTTGTTTTTTATGTTGTTTGTCATGAATATATCCCACAGTATGCTATATTCCCGCTCCTTGCTGCTGGTCTCCCCTGAGCTGATGACATATTTGGCAGAAATGTCTGGGATGGGGGTGGGGGGAATGGTTGATGGTTCAGTTGGTCACTATGGTAATAGAGGCCTCTGCATAAAGTGGGACTGAATATGGCGTGATCAATAGTGTCTGTAGCAAGCGACTCGGCCCGAGCTCTGTGCCAGCCTCGGGATGCAGACAGAAAGATGGAAGCCGCTGCTGTGAGCGGCCCAAAGGGCCCGACAGTAAGCTGACGACCTGGCACCCAGCCCACACCTCTTTGCCGCCCCCTCTTCCATGCTCTCTGCCTTTTGCACTCATTTATTTTTCATTTTCTTTAGAATCGTCTTTTTGGGCTCATGTCAGACAAGCCCTTTTGCTGTAAGCGCTCTTTAAGCATGTCTTCAAGATTCTCAATCAGAGCCTGAGACCATAGGTCAGTAGACCAATGAGATGAGATTCATCTAGAGCCATCCTACATTTATTTAGCTAAATTTTTTAATTTGCTTGTATTTTGTTCAAACACAACTTATAGGAACAGAAATATTGAGCTATTATACAAAATTCACCCAAAAGAAATAACCTTTTATCTTTTTTTATTTTTGTTTATTTTATTTTTTTGTGTGTGCGTGTGTGTGTTTGGTTGGTTGGTTGTTTTTTGTTTTTGTTTTGTTTTTGACCCAATTGACTTCAGTTATATGGACAAACTGTTGGAACATTCTTCAAAGTATTTTCTTTCATGTTCTGCAGAAGAAATAAAGTCATACAGGTTGGGAGGGTGAGTAAATTATGACAATTTTCATTTTTGGGTGCACTGTCCCTTTAACACCGCCCATGCACACAAAAGAGCTTAGATAATGACCTCTGAACTTCAGTCACCTAAGCCTTTGTAGAAGATAAGTGAGATTAGATAGGCTATTTGATTGTCGATTGATATGAAACTAAAGCTTTTTTGACTGCCCCTTACTTTGTGGGTTTTTGTGCCTTTACAGTCTTTGTGATACTTTTTTGGAGAAGTAAAATTATTTTCAGCAATGCAGTTAAGCCTGATCCATGCACTTAAAGGCACCATTAATTTTATTAATTATGTTGAAACTGATCTGTGTAGCCAAAGATTCAGGGTTTAATGGATTTGCGGACACTGAAATGCTACTTCCTCCCACTTCTTTGTCATTTTTCATGACATTTCTATTATGCCTGTGTAAATTGACATAATCTTTTCAGCTCACAAGGCGGAATTATTTAAATACATTTACTAGTATTCCCAAAGAGAGTACAATACAATTAACACGAATAGGACCTTACCTAATCTTGACAGCACTCAATTAGGCTTGAAACACAGTCCTGATGGTTATGTGCTGAGATTGCTCTCATAAATTATCTGATATCAACCCAGCAGAGAAAATGCATGTATGCAAAGTGCTTTCAGAGGAAAATTAAAAGAAAACGTTTTACATATTTTTCATTAATCTCAATGGGACCCGTGTGGCAGGGAGACTTTTGCTCGCTTAATTTCTCGCCAAGGGATCTCCCAATAATGACTTCATTCTTTTACTAGACAATATATGACAAACTCATTTCAACAAAGATAATTCCCCTGCAATAAAACGAATCGTTTACAACAAGAGCAGGCAGGAACCATTTTGGAAATAATATGTAATTGAAATGAAATAGAATTTATTGGCATTTGGGGGTAATGAGTGAAAATTGAACTCTAGTAATGTTGCAAAATGTCTAGGCTAACGCGACTTTTGAATTTGCTGGAATATCATTAACAGAGAATAACGTTTACCACTGTGGAAAAGAGGTGCAGATGCGACGCAAATAACTAGCTTTCGGTGACTTTTAAGATAAAAAAAAATAAATTGAATTTATGCATTTAGTTCTTTAGAGAAAGTATTAACAAAACACTAAAATACAAATTGTTATTGCATTTGATTATATTAGCCAAACTTTAATAATGGGCGTGAATTATGCTGTTATGCCCACGTTTTTGTTGTCATGTCTGCATTTTATCCATTTAAACGTCTTTTAAAACCGTTTCAAATATCTTTGCAAACCTTAAAAAAAATATTCGAGATAGACCTACACCTACACAGAGAGAGAGAGAGAGAGAGTGGGTATGATTTGGGTTTTTCTTTATTTTAGATGCAATGCAACGTTTTAAAAAATCTAGTGGGTTATTTAATTAAATGATTTAACATTTCAAGGCGGAATTATTTAAATACATTTACTAGTATTCCCAAAGTGAGTACAATACAATTAACACGAATAGGACCTTACCTAATCTTGACAGCACTCAATTAGGCTTGAAACACAGTCCTGATGGTTATGTGCTGAGATTGCTCTCATAAATTATCTGATATCAACCCAGCAGAGAAAATGCATGTATGCAAAGTGCTTTCAGAGGAAAATTAAAAGGAAACGTTTTACATATTTTTCATTAATCTCAATGGGACCCGTGTGGCAGGGAGACTTTTGCTCGCTTAATTTCTCGCCAAGGGATCTCCCAATAATGACTTCATTCTTTTACTAGACAATATATGACAAACTCATTTCAACAAAGATAATTCCCCTGCAATAAAACGAATCGTTTACAACAAGAGCAGGCAGGAACCATTTTGGAAATAATATGTAATTGAAATGAAATAGAATTTATTGGCATTTGGGGGTAATGAGTGAAAATTGAACTCTAGTAATGTTGCAAAATGTCTAGGCTAACGCGACTTTTGAATTTGCTGGAATATCATTAACAGAGAATAACGTTTACCACTGTGGAAAAGAGGTGCAGATGCGACGCAAATAACTAGCTTTCGGTGACTTTTAAGATAAAAAAAATAAATTGAATTTATGCATTTAGTTCTTTAGAGAAAGTATTAACAAAACACTAAAATACAAATTGTTATTGCATTTGATTATATTAGCCAAACTTTAATAATGGGCGTGAATTATGCTGTTATGCCCACGTTTTTGTTGTCATGTCTGCATTTTATCCATTTAAACGTCTTTTAAAACCGTTTCAAATATCTTTGCAAACCTTAAAAAAAATATTCGAGATAGACCTACACCTACACAGAGAGAGAGAGAGAGAGAGTGGGTATGATTTGGGTTTTTCTTTATTTTAGATGCAATGCAACGTTTTAAAAAATCTAGTGGGTTATTTAATTAAATGATTTAACATTTTACTTTTGTATATAGACTAGGGACAGTCAGAAATCTTGTTTTTATGTTGTGTAATTGTTCTAGTGCAACCTCACACGATCAACAAAGTGCGTGGGGGAAAAAAGAACAGTTATTTTTGGACAGATCTATACACTTGTGACGTCAAGGGGTCAGAACAAACAAAAGATGGAGTTAAAAAAGTAATTTTATTTTGCCAACGCGTTTCGGCGCACAGGCCTTCATCAGGACTAAAAAAAGAACTTGTTTTATACAGCGCACACCTTGATGTCACAATCAAACGTGAGTTTTATTGTAATATAAGTGCATTTGAAAGAGTAATTTTCAGTAATGTTCCATATTTCCTAATAGGCTACTCCATAATTTTGAAGCATTTTTAATGCTCCTTTTTTCTTTCGCTGTTAAAAAGATGACTTAGTTCATGTGTGGTATTGTTTGGCCAGAATACTGAATGTGTGACTGAGTGAAGGATAGTTTTCTCTGAATAACCGGAGACTTTGAGCTGACTCTTAATTTGAAATGGAGACCGATCAAAGGACAAACCCAGTAAACCTCCTCCGGTCTTTGTCTGCGGTTGCTATGGCTTCGAGTCGAGGGGCCACGTAAATCAGACTCGTTACAGCGCGACAAAAAAAGTCTCCAAAACTTTTTTGTTTTTAGCTGACTTGACCCCATGTATTTTTATTCATGAAAGTTCATCTTAAGAAAAGAAATACAATGTCAAAAAATTTTTATTTGTGCATTGTTGTCTGTTACTTGATTTATTGATTTAATCTAATGAAATGCATAATATTTGTTTTGAAGGTGGTAGTAATAATAATAATAGTTTACCATGAAGTGTTCTCGTTTTTAATAGAGATGAATGACTTTATTCATTATAAAAAGACAATTTAAAAAGTATTGCCGTTTTTAAGCAATATTATTTTTATATCTTATTTTATTAACATCTTCATCGTCAGGGTTAGGCCTATAGAGCAGATGTAATTTCCACCTCACTGTTAGTAGTATCTCAGGAACAGCCCATGGGTGGATTCCCCAATTATAAGCCCATGGCAGCCCCCCTTGAAATTGACTTTTCCTTCTGTTGTGACAAAATGGTGCAATTGTCGCGTAGCCTCCAGGATAATCAGAGCATCATGGTTTTATGTATATTATGGCGGCTGGCTCATTATCACACAACTGCTCATGAATTAGAGAGAAATTAAAACAATTCCGCTATATATTTCATGGATGCGATAAAACAGATACGCTTTTGAGTGCTGGTGAGCTTGCTGTGTGACTTGACTGCTTGACGCAGCTTGTACCATCTCACCCACTGGCTTTCTGATGAAAGAAGAACAGAACTTTAAGAAGTGTGCCGCCGGATGCTGTCAAAATTGGGGGCAGGAAGAGAATGGCTGTTCATAAAGGCGACATTTATTGCTTCTTGGCTGTTAGGACTTTTGCAGTTGAACCCCCCGGTGCAGATCCAGACAGAGCAGTCGAGAGGAATATACGTATGATCTGTCCGCTCATAGGCCTATCTGTAGGCCTACTTGCATGAAGTTATAATGAGTAACAGGTGCACTGTGAATTAAAGTCGAAATCCGTTAAAGATAATTGAAGGTTTGCAGAGTGGAAACAAGTGAAATATTGATAAAAGACGTCATGCAAATGCGTTTTTAAGGTGTTATTTAAATCACCTTTATTTCTAGCTCTTCATTGTTTCAAAGCAGCTTCACGGTACTTAACAGGAAAATATATAGCAAAGTCAATTATGGAAACAGTGCTAGTGCAGTTCAGTTCAAAAACAGTGTAAATTGTATCTATTTCGAAAAGAGCTCAATTCAGCTAAGCAGTTCTTCATTGTCTCATAATTTCCAGGGAGGCTAGTGCAGTCCTAGTATTAATTTAATGTTTTTCTAGAGGCCTCTACGCTTTGGATATATCGTGGAGTGACCCTATAACCACCTACACATGCTTGCATCTTTTCCAGCTCACTTAATTGTCAGGTATTGAGTCATGGGAGCACAAGCTGCTGGTTTATCACCTTCCCTTGACACAGGTTCTCCTGGTGGTTTTACCCTGTGTTTGGGATTAAACAAGCCATAAGAAACACATAAACCTTTAAATTATATATTAGATATGTTTTTTCCCCTCGACAGGAACCTTTTTAACATAATAACATTAGCAAACATTACATATATGGTGCTGAATAGGCCATGAAAGTACATTCAGCTGGTTACAAATGTCATATTTAAATAATAAATAATTATTTACAAATTTACG